TCCCGGCTGCTGACTGGGCAGGGCTGGTGCCTTAACGCTGCAGCGGGGGCTGTGATGGAGCTTTTTTTTTCCTCCAGATCAGCAAAGGTTTCCAAAAAAGGAAATATTTCCAGTGCTGCTGCGAGCTGTGCTCGTGGACAGACGTGACAGCAGGGAGGGAGCCGTCCCCCTGCCAGAGCCGGCCCCCGGAGGGCAGGGAGTGCAGCTCAGCTCAGCAACTCTGCCCCAACATCTGGACCACATTGTCCTAATTTAGCAAATGAGGGTTTTTGCTGCGGGTTTGTTTAATTTCCCTGGGGTGGGGGAGGTCTCTGATACTGCACAGCCCCCCCTTTTTTTTAAAGGGACAGTGCCCTTAGTTGTGCTCCTGCTCCTGCTGCAGCCCTTCCCCACTCACTGGGGTGATGAGTTATTGCTGCTCCATCCTGGGCTGGGATGGGAGAAGGGTTTCATTGTGGTTTCTTGTGATCACTGACCCCCCTGAGCGCTGATGCAGAGGGGAGTTGAGTTTTATTTATTTTTTGGAAACCTTGACCACTCTTCCCAACAAATAGATGCTCTCATCCCTCGCTTCTGCTTTTGGAAAAAGCCAGCCAAGCTGTAACACTGACATGTGGCTCTAAAACCCCTTTGGAGATTATTGTGACAGATCTTCCAGCACCTCACCCTCCCAAAATGTCACCCATTCTGGTTCCCTTGGAGGAAAGGTGGAGGCAAGGGGTGGATTTCAGAGAAGCTGCTGGAAGATTTTAGCTTAATTTGGGGAGGTATCTGTGCTCTGAGCCCTCCCAGGAGCTCTCCTGCAGAGAAGCTGATGCTGCATGTGGTTGTGTCAGAGCTGAGAATGGAGATGCCTTGAGGATGTGAGAGTTTCCACAGCCTCCCACCCTGAGAAGGCAGGGATGGAGCTGGCTCTGGCAGTGCCCTGCCTGACCCTGCCCTCACTTAACGGCTCTGGAGGCAGGAATTGGGATAAAATCACCAGGTTTCCCATCCTGAGTTAAAACCTCCCTCCCTACAGTGGGACAGAGGGCAGGTGGGGCTGGGGAGCATCTCTGGGAAGGGCTGTGGGAAGGCTGGGATGGAGGGGTGGGAACACATCCCCCCACATTTCTGCCCTAAGGAGCTGATGCCATCAGGGCTGTGCTGATGGAGAAGAAGGATTTATCACAGGTGAAGTCCCTGCACTGTGTGTTTGTCACCAGCAAGGCCTTGGCTGCCCCAGGTTGTTCCCACCTGGGGCTGTGCCCAAAGTGCTGAGTCAGCAAGGTGGCAGAGACTGGGGTCAAAAATAGACTGGGAGCTGCCAGGGCCCCATAGCCAAATACTCCTTGGATGGCACAGGAATGTTTTCCTTCACCTTTTGCAGTAGTTTTGTTGCTGGGGAGGCTCCTGTGAGTCCTGAGCCAACCTCAGTATTTAGGGCTCCACAGAAAGGGCAAGGATGCAGTCCTGGGGTTAAACAGCTTCTCCATGGGAATCTCACAGCAGGAATGGTGCTGCTAATCCCACAAGGTGCCACGTGGCCTCTGAGGTCCTGGGAGCTCCCCGGGATCTCCAGGTATCCCCCAGTGCCATGGATAAACCCCACCTGCCCAGCCCAGCCTGCTTTTCACCCACGTGTTTTTCCAGCAATTTCCCTTCCTGGGACAGGAACGTTCGTGATGATTGATGGGATCTGGGGTGAACCAGCCACCTCTTCCCACAGCAGGGAGCCCCGTGGGGTGAGCCTGTGGGGTGGATGGGTGCAAGGGAGCTAATTTGGAGGGATGACTCGTCCTCCTCCCCGTCAGCAGCGATCCGGTGGGATCGGGAGGCTGCGGGGGAGGAACACGCCTGCTGATGTATTCCTTGGCTGGCCCTGCTTCCAGAGGGCCGTGGGCCAGCCAGGGCCTCCTGACACCATTGCATTCTTCTCCTTGTTTGCAAATTCATCCCTGGGTTCAATCAACCTGAACCCAGGGCAGATGATATCCCGGGTGGGAACCTCTCCAGCACCGGGAGACTCAGAACTGGGATCCAGCATCCCTGGACCAGCCCCACCAGGACTTGTGCCCCTTCCCTTTGCTGCAGGGAGAGGCTGTGCTGGTCCTCTGCTGCAGGAATCCGATGTGGAAAGACTTGGGCTGTGGGAGGCAGATGGAAAATCCCTTTGGGGAGGAGGGTGGACACTGCCTGAGCGGGAACGTGTCACAGCAGATCCCGGCAGTGATGGGGGAGAGAAATTCCTCCCATATTTGTCTCCATGAGAAACTGGAGGGACGTGAACCCTTCTGAATGTGTGGTGATAAGGGCAGGGAGCCGGGAGCTTTCTAGGAAAGGAGGGCCAGGGCTGGAGCCCGCAGTGACTCCACACTTTGTGCTTCCTGCCCCTGACGGGCCCTTGACGGCTTCTCCCGCACTCCAGTGCCTGCTCACTCTTTCACTCCTTTTTTGGTGCTCCTTTCCCGGTCAGCTCCATCCGGCAGGAAGCTGGGGGGCTGGAGATAAGCCTGATCCACTCCTGGGCAGGAACTGAGCACTGCTCCCTGCACTGGGCTCACCCACAGTGGGCCCGTTCCTTGCTCACGGCAGGGGTCCTGAGGGCACGTGTGGAGAAAATGGGGGGAAGAGGTGATTTGTCTTTGGCCAAAGCAACAAGTAATTTAAAAAGTCCCAGCCTGCCCCTGTTCACATCCCACCACACCCTCCTCCAGCCATCCCACAGAGACAGGTTTTCCTTTCAGCTCTGCCAGAACCCAAACGTGAGGCTCCAGCTGCCAGGAGCCAGGAGGGGGTTGGCAGGGGTGTGTTATCCCTCGCTCCTTGGCAGGGGTTGCCGAGCTCCTGCTTTGGGTCCTGGCAGGACGTGCTGATCCCAAATCCCCTCTGTCTGCCACCTCCCTCGAGCACAGACCGTACGCCCCAAAACCCCTCCGGTCCTGGTCTGGCATGAGGTGTGACAAAGCTCTCCAGGGAAAAGGGGGGTGGTTTTCCTTCTCCCAGCTGTGGAGAGCTGGTTCCTGACCGTGTCCCTCTCCCCCAGGTCTGGGCACAGTCGTCCCCTCGCTGTGACCTCCGTGCCAACCTGCTGCACAACGGCTGCGGGCAGGAGCACATCGAGTCCCCCAGCAGCAGCGTCACCATCCTGGAGGACAGACCCCTCAGCAACAAAGGCTCAGGGGGGGCCACCACCACCCAGATGAGCCCCCAGAGAATTCGGCTGAACCTGAGGCCGGGTAAGAGCCCCCAGGCCGCTGTGGGAAGGGGGGGATGCAATGGGAATAACCCAAAGGGCTCAGGCAGTGACAGAGCCACAGCTCTGCCTCGCTGGCCAAGGGGGTCTTGTGGGGGCAAGGCCAGGCTGGGGCCACCCTGAACCCTCCAGAACATCCCTGGTGGACAGCCTGCAAGCTCCTTGCTGTGTTCAGTCTCTTGCCTCAAGCCTGATGTGCCCAAGGGGCAGGACTGGATGTGCCTTCAACAAAAAGCTGTTTGGATCCGAGGCGCTGCCGCTGCGCTCGGAATTCCTGGGTGGAAGTCGGCTCGTGTCTAACGAGCAGCTGGCAGGGCTGGGCTGCCAAGAGGTCCTGTAATTTCCCTGGCTCCCTTCAGCCAGGCAGGCTGGAGCCAATTAACTGCTCTGGTCCTCTGCCAGCAGCCAGGGGTTTCAAGGATGCCAGGCAGGAGGCAAAGCTAACGGGCGTCACTCGCCCGAGCTCACAGAACCGGTTCGGGGAACGTCGCCGGTAAAGTTAGAGCGGCCAAAGCAACACAGATATCAGATGTAGCCCAGGTGTGAGGTGAACAGGAAGCTGTTTATTGCTCTCAAGTGTTTGTTTTATACTCTTTGCACACAATTGGTTCAAAAGTCTCAAGCATAAAACACAGTACACACGTTGGTAATCCAGAAGACACTGCACACGCTCTCATTGGTGGCACTGAAGACACTGTGCCTGCTGTCACTGGGGATATTGTGCACATTTTGATTGCTGACCTTTGCTCTGGGCTGCATTTCGTTTGTTCCATCCGGCATTACAGTAAATATTTCCTTAGAGTTGTTTACATTCCTCGTCACTAATTGCCAGGCTGCTGGCAGGGTGTCTGTCATCAACCCCGACAGGGGAACGTGGAGCGAGCGGTGCCATCGCCTGCTGTGCCCCAGACACCCCCTCACAGGTCACTCTGCCAGTCTCAGCAGGAACAATTTTGGTTCCTTGTGCTCATTAAAGCCCTGGGGTTGGATGTCAGTGGCTGATAGCACGTGGCACATCCCTAGGCCTGGCCAGGAGGAGTCCAGACCCATCTGAAGGACAGAAATGTCTTTGTGGGGACATGGAGCTGCTCAGTGGCCATTGTTCTATTTAGGTCTAAAGGTATTTGGCAGGAGGGGGGAGAGTGTGTTGCTCAGGAGAGTAAATCCCTGTAAATTCCTGTTTCTTGGGAGAAAACCCAGCTTGATACCATCTCTGCCCAACCAAGAGGGTTTGGAATGAGTCATCGGCCTTGACTCCTGAACCAAGACCAGATCATGAAGGATACAAGCAGGACAAGTCACAGCTCATGTCCCACAAGCTGAGAGTGCTCGTGGCTTCAGTTCAACAAGGACAAACAGCTGCCATCTGAGCAGAAAGATGGGACCCCTGGCTCTGTATGGGGTCCCAGCACAGCTGGAGGGGGGATGGAGCTCTTTGGGCTCTCATAGTTTTTGAAACTTTCTCCATCCTGAAAGAAGGTGACGTGTGGGTTTACATGGAAATGTGAAAACAGCAACAATTTAAGCTCAATTAAAGCTTTTTTCCCTCAGTGTCTGAGGTGTTCAGACAAGGCTGCAGCTGTGCCCTGGCTTACCTTTCAAAGAAGCCTTTTCAAGGACCAGAAGAAAGAACCTTTGTCTCTAAAAAAGGCCAAAAGAAAAGGTCAACTCAAGGCATTTTCAGCTTTTTTTTTTTTTTTTTTAAGTGCCAAAGTCATCAAAACTGGCCTGATCCCCAGAAGGATCTGTCTGAGGAAGGTTTTGTTTCAATGGAAAATGTTGCACCAAAAATTTCCCAGTAGGAGCTGGGAGGAGCCAAGGGGAGAGGGATGGGGGAGGCCTCAGGAGATGCCTGGAGTCCCTGGGAGCTCAGAGAAGTCCAGAGCAGCCTTACAGTCCCCTCGTGGTCCCTGCCAGACCTGCTGTGCTGGGGGGTCAGCCCTGGGCAGGAGGATCTGCTCACGTCCTGGTACTGAGAGGTTTGGAGAACAGGAGCCATGGAATGCAGACACATCTGTCACAGATTGCTAAAACAGTTTGGGTTGGAAAGGACCTTAAAGCTCATCTCGTTCCACCCCCTGCCACGGGCAGGGACACCTTCCAGTGGACCAGGTTGGTCCAAGCCCCATCCAACCTGGCCTTGGACAAGGGTGCACAGAACATCTCCTGTGCAAGCACCTGACTAAGGGCTTTGCCCCTCTGTGTCTGTCTAAGGGTGATGTTCTCCTCCCAGCAGCTTTTAACCATCCCCTGGGTTCCTGCTGACCCTGCAGGGTGACTTTCCCCCTAATCCTGTGGCGAGTCCCCCCTGCTCCTCCCGGGAGAGGAGCTCTCACTCCACTGCCCTGTCACATTCCAGACGACTCCCAGGTCTTCCGTGTCCAAGTGCGTCAGGTGGAAGACTACCCTGTGGACATCTACTACCTGATGGACCTGTCCAACTCCATGAAGGACGACCTGAGGAACATCCAGAACCTGGGCACGAAGCTGGCCAGCGAGATGCGCAAGCTCACCAGCAACCTCCGCATCGGCTTCGGGGCCTTCGTGGACAAGCCCATCTCCCCCTACATGTACATCTCCCCTCCAGAAGCCGTGGAGAACCCTTGCTATGAGTAAGTCCCGGGCTGAGGGAGTCCTGGGAGGGCCAGAAGTTGATGGGACATCACTGGAATGTGGCTGGAAATCCATGCCAGCGGATTCCAGCAGGGAGATGGGGGCCTGATTCCGGGCAGGGTTCAGACCTTGCTGCACAGGGTGTTCTGCTGGCACAGGGAGGAGCAGCAGGTCTAAACCAGAACTGTCATTGCCACCGGGAAGTCCTTCAGGGGACAATTTTACACCAGTTTTTCATGAGAAGTGTTGAGGCTCGAAGCAAATGACTCCTAAAAATCCCAGCAGGTCTGAGGCTGGAGCTGCCCTGAGCCCGGTACCTCTGGGTTGATTTTTAGAAGGCCCTTCACCGGCCTCTGGATGTGCCCTCTCCAGCACATCCTGGACAGGACCCTGGGACACGGGATGGCTGCAGGGCAGGGATGGGAGCTGGCAGAGCCCTGTGACTGTTGTGCCCCCCCAGGATCGGTGAGACCTGCCTGCCCATGTTCGGGTACAAGCACGTGCTGTCGCTGACGGACGAGGTGACCCGGTTCAACGAGGAGGTGCGGAAGCAAAGCGTGTCCCGGAACCGCGACGCGCCCGAGGGCGGCTTCGATGCCATCATCCAGGCCACTGTGTGCGAGGTGAGGGGCAAGGAGGCCTGGCTGGGGCTGGGGCAGGGTCACCAGCGTGGGCAGGGACCGCCCAACCCCACCAGGACAGGATCATGAGCCTTGTTGAGCTGCTGTGCCACTCGGCTCTGGAGAGGGCGAACATTCAACCAGCACATTTCCAGCCCAGTAGTCAAGGCAAGGGAAGAGCAGGACCTTCAGTGGTCCTGGCAGGAGAGAGGAGCAGAGGAGGTGTTTGGGAATGGGTGATGATCCCATGTCAGCCCTGCAGTGACCAGCCCAAAAGGGACAACAGCTCCTGTGCCTGCACCTTGATTTTGCTGGAGGGGTTGTATTACCTCAGTCATTAAACACCATGATTAACACTGGCAAATTAATCACAGAATCACAAAATATGCTACTTGAGAGGGACCCACAAGGATCATCCAGTCCAACTCCTGGCCCTGCACAGATTCCCCTACAATCCCACCCTGTCCCTCAGAGCATTGTCCAAACCCTCCTGGAGCTCTGGCAGCCTTGGGGCTGTGCCCACTGCCCTGGGGAGCCTGGGCAGTGCCAACCACCCTCTGG